GGGCGAGAGGAGAGGGGCGAGGCGAGAGGCGAGGCGACAGTTGAGGCGAGACGAGAGGCGAGGCGGTGAATTGGGGCGAAGGGGCAGAGCAGGGCAGAGACAGGGCAGAGACCGGAGCAGGGCAGAGTGGGAGAGGGAAGGAGGAGGCGGAGGAGGGAGGGAGGGAGAAGGAGGGAGAAGGAGAGAGAAGCAGACAGCCACAGACAGCCGCAGGAGAGGGGGGTCGCCTGCGGCGAGAAGCAAAGCGCCGACTCCCCCATTGCGCGCGAGGTGGCCGCCTAGTGCCGACCCCCCCTCGGCTGACCTCGGACCGACCTGAGACTCCTCTCACCCCTCGTGTGGCCGGCCGCCGACGTCTCCCGGAAGGCGACGTGCCTCGCGGTGGGCTCGAACCTGCTCACAGCGACGCCGCTGTCAAGAGACGCGCCGCCTGCCCGCCGCACCGCACGCGTGTACGGCGGCGCAGCCTGCCCGTCCCTCCCGCCCCTGGCTCGGGGTTGGTGTCGGTCGCAGTCCCGCGGCTCAGTATCTTTGCCTGCAGCGAGGCGGGGTGCCGCAGGTGGTCGACTGCACGACCGCTCCTCTCCTCTCCTCTCCCCTCCCCTCCCCTCCCCTCCCCTCCCCTCCCCTCCCCTCCCCTCCTCTCCTCTCCTCTCCTCTCCTCTCCCCTCCCCTCCTCTCCCTCTCCTCTCCCTCTCCTTTCCCTCTCCTCTCCTCTCCTCTCCTCTCCTCTCCCTCTCCTCTCCCCTCCCCTCCTCTCCTCTCCTCTCCTCTTCCCCCTCCCCTCCTCTCCTCTCCTCTCCTCTCCCCGTCTGCCTGCAGCGAGGCGGGGTGCCGCAGGTGGTCGATGATATGCCGCATCGCGCCGCGCACGCCTCCGTCGAAGCGGGAGAGGTCGCCGTGGAAGAGGTAGCCTGCTGGCCACAGCAGGGCGCGTCGGGAGGTGGCTGCTGATCACAGCGCGCCCGTCAAGGATCGAGAGGCACACTGAGCGGACAGGCTTGCATGGGTTGGTCTACGCTGTGACGGTGCTCGACAGCTGCGAGGGGAGGGGGAAGCTTCTCCTCGGCGTGACGCGTCGGCGGGGCAGGAGCCGGGAAGGCAGAGCCGGGCCGTCCGTGCGAGCTCCGGCGTCGCGACGTGCGGCACCATCACCGCGCGGCGGTAGAGGTCGAAGTAGGGCATCTGGCTTCCGATGTGCGCCCCGTCGCGGTCGACGGTCGCGAGAATGACCTGAAGAGGACGGCTCCACGGAAAGTAAGAGAGACGACTCCATGCCATGTCCCGGCTCGGCAGAGGCGGCGAGGCGCCGGCCCAATCTGCGCGTTGCGCTGGACGAGGGCCTCGGCCAGCTTCCGGCCGACAGTCCCTCTCAGGTCGTAATGCGGCTGGATGAAGAGCCACTTTGCGCGCCGGTCGCTCCACAGCGGATTCGCGAGCAGCGCGCCGAGCAGCGCCTGCATCCGCTCGTGATGCGCCTCGGTGCGGTTGGTGACGCTGCCGAGCACGCGGGAGGTGTACGCCGCGCAGTCGACCACCTGCCACTCGGCCTCGCTGGCCGCTCGGCGCCGCTCCGAGTGCTGCGCGAGGGCGTCGAGGAGACGCATGTCGGAGAGGTACTGCGACCACACGTTCGGCAGCACCGCCTCGAATGACCGGCCCGCGAGCAGCGCAGTAAAGTCCGCGCGCACCGCATCCTCGCCCGCGCCGAGGAGGCGGTGGAGGAAGAAGGAGGGCGAGGGACGGATATCGCGCTCGCGCACCCGCCAGTCCAGCACCGAAGGAGGCTCAAACACGTTCCCCGCGAGCCGCTTTGGGCAACGCGGACCCGCCTGATCAGTCGACCCGCCTGGCGAGTGGCGTGGAGCCATCCGGTCTCACCCGGTCTCACCGGTGTTGGGGCTGTTGTCAGCGTTCGTTACCTTCGCGGGAAAAAGAATTCATCGCGCCGGTTTTATTTCTTACCCTCGCCGAGGCCTCCGAGCAGGCGTGGGAGGCGATCCTCGCCATGGACGCCGCCAAGCTCGGCAAGGCGCTGTCCGACACGATGGCGGCGTGGGAGGCGATGGCCGGCCGCGCACGCCCGTATCCGCTCCTCCCCTCGGTGCATCTCGGCAAATCCGGTGCTAGGCGATGCTGCCGTACACGACCGACCCGTATCGCGGCAAGGACGCGGCCAAGTCCGAGGAGCTGCATCTCGGCTGTCTGTCTCGGCCACATCGGGGCTCCATCTCGGCAGTAGGACGCGGCCAAGTCCGAGGAGCTGCGCGCTTTCGTCGCGCGGCACGGCTTCCCGCACACAGCGGGCTGCCTCTTCTC